AACTGTGGTGCTGGAGGAGGCTCTCGAGAGTCCCCTGGACTGCAAAGGGAACAAACCTATCCATTCTGAAGGAAATCATCCCTGAGTGCTCCCTGGAAGGACAGATCCTGAAGCTGAGGCTCCAAGATTTTGGCCATCTCATGAGAAGAGAAGACTCCCTAGAAAAGACCCTGATGTTGGGAAAGAGTGAGGGCAAGAGGAGAAGGGGACGAGAGAGGACGAGGTGGTTGGACAGGGTCATCAAAGCTATCAACATGACTTTGACCCAACTCCGGGAGGCAGTGGAAGACAGGAGAGCCTGGCATGCTCTGGTCCATGGGGTCATGAAGAGTCGGACACTACTTAACAACTAAACAACAACAACAAATGATGTACCAAACATGAAACACGTCCAACATTTCAACAGAAGACCTACAGAGATACTGCATGGTGCAGTGGCTAGAAGTTTGGGCACCTGTACCATATATATCTTGGGCACATCTAACCCCAACCATGAACCACAGCTCCAGATCATAAACTGAAAGCGGTACGTACTATATCTGTATATCAGCCATTATCTCCCTGGCTATCTTTGATGATGCTGGGTGGACCAGCAGAAACTCAAAGAGCGAGGAAGCAGAGGGTGTGGCTTGGGGTGTTCCTCAACCTCCTCTCCTCTCTGATCCTCTCTCACTCCCCACGTTGAGGTGCCATGTCGCCCACTACAGGGACTTGTGGCATGGTATGGTTTTAATGTGTGTGTTTTTGTTTCATGCCCACATCAGATGGGCCTAATTTGGTCCTTGGTTCTCAGGTTCTCTATTCCTACCTTCCAACATGGTGTGTGGAATGATGTGACTGGATTCTGTAGACAAAAGGTCCAGAAGTCGGAGCTTTGCTGTCAGAGCATCTGTTCACCGTCTTGTAAAGCCTACGCGTTTTGAAGCAGTGTACGTCTTTCAACTAAAATCAAACCCTTTTAGACTGGTGGGCCTATGGCCAGGGGTTTCAGCTTTTGATAGGGTTGGTGTAATGTCTATGGAGAACTAGGCACATCTTATAATGCATCACTGAAATGCTTGGGATTGGCATAGGAACCCAGGTGTATTTCTGAAACTCTTTCATTTACTTGAGAAGGATCATACAGGTGAAATTCTCTGGCACGTGATTTTAGTTTCTGAACTGGAAGGTGTCTGGCTGACAGCATCTCTGCCAATGTTTTAGGCATCCGGAGGTCTCCATTCTGTTATCTCTGAGTTTCCATAGGGCTCTGGACCCCTTTATTTTGCTGGATTCCCTCTGATCTGAGCAGTTCTTTATTTATACTTGTTGTGTCATTGTTTTGTTTATTTAATTGGTCTGTCCTCTGTTTTATGACAGTCACTGTTGTTTTTATTGTTTTCCTTGTAAGGGGGCTTTAGTGCTTCCTTTTTAGCTGAAAGGCACAGCATGCCTTTTTTAGACCTCAAGTACAAATTAAATAAACAAATGGCATTACAAGCCTACATTGAACCTGCTTCCCAAAGATGCCTCCCACCATATACCTGTGCTAGGCAGTTATTTTATTGCATATTACTTGTTTATTTAAAATATTTATATGCCACCTTTCTCCTGAAGGACCCAAGGCAGCTTGCAGTATTAAAAGAAATAAAGTTCAAAGTTAAATAATACATTAGTGTTGTTATTATTAACACTGGAGGCGTTCAAGAGAAAATTGGATGGCCATCTGTCAGATCTGCTTGGAGTGGGATTCCTGCCTTGAGCAGCAGGTTGGACCCGATGGCCTTAGAGGCCCCTTCCAACTCATATTCTAGGATTCTAAATTAATTTAATTGCACTAAATTATTACAATATTTAAAAAGCATTATAGCAGCTTAATGCCACTTTAATTGGCATTAATTGCCTCCATTAGAATCCTGGGCCTTGTTGTTTGGTGAAGTGTCTGCCATTCTCTGCTAAAGCGCTCCATTGCACTCCCCCTGAGCTACAGCACTAGAGATAACGCAGTATTATAGAGATGCCGACAGAGAGCCTCAATAGGCTCGGCCTCTGTTAGGTTTCCTGTATCCGGTGAAATTCAGGGCCCTACTGAATTTACCAAGTGCACTAGGTGATTCTGGGCCCAGCAGATTGAAAGAGAGGAGCTTATTCCAAGCTCTGTGGCATAAAATTGGACCACCAGACCAAGGAAATGTCCACTGAGGGAATCATGGACATTCAGATTCATAAGCAAAGTCTGTCCCTGAGCTTGGAAAGAAGGAATTCTAAGCGCCATTACAGGACACTGCATTGTGTCCTGTAATGAGTTACTTCTTTGGAACAGTGGGCATACAGAAGCTACATTTGGAAGGTAACTCCATGAAAGGTCACCAAATTGTCATGTGTGGGGACCTAAAAATAAACCCTGACAGCACAGTCACAGCTGCCTTGACTCAAGACCCTGCCAAGATTTCTGAATGAATCACATCCCCTTCCGGGGCTGGGGGGGCAGGGAAGGGATAATTTCATCACAACTTATGGCTGGGTTGCCTTCTGAACCTGTGAATGCTGGAGCTGGCCTCAAAATCAGAAACCACAGAGGAAACCCACCCCCCCCATATGCAATCTTAGCCACACTGATGGACTTTTCCAACTTGCAGTACAGGAAGAAGACCCTCCGCTCTTCTGCATGACCCACCACCGGGTTCGCCGTCGCTTGAACGCAAGATGGCGGCCGCCTGCTTTCACTGGGCAGCAATCCACATTTCCAGCTGATCTACTCCCTTGCTTGCTGAAACCTGATGCTCAGTGTAAACTTTGGAAACCAACCAGCTCCCAGTATGTTTTGGTTCCTGGAAGGTTTCCTCTTTCTTTCTTTCTTTCTTTCTTTCTTTCTTTCTTTCTTTCTTTCTTTCTTTCTTTCTTTCTTTCTTTCTTTCTTTCTTTCTTTCTTTCTTTCTTTCTTTCTGGGTGCTTTCTCTTTTGTTGGGTATTCCATGCTGCTGGAGTGCACTGGACTGTTGCTGAGTTTGTTGATTGCATCAGGAAATCCATCCTGAGATGATGCAGAAGGAATGGGAGCGGTTAGTAAGAAACCTTACAGGTAGCTCAAGAAGCCCCTAGGAGTAGCTTCTGTCCACAGGTGTGTGTCCTAGCAAACTAGCTTCCAGGAAGGAGGAAGTAAATCCAAGTTTGCATCAAATGAGTGATTAACTGGAACTGCCACTAGGGTACAAGAAGCCCAAACCCACTTGGCTACCTGCCTATTTCTTGCCACAGACTCAGGTTACCTGCTAGAGAGAGGAAATTATGTCTTCCTCCTTCTATCAGCTGCCAGCAAAGTGGCTGAAACTGGAACACAAAGACTGAGCATTCTCCATTCGTGGTACGCTTGAGGAGTTCAAGCCCCTCCCACCTTGGATCATGAAGGTGTGATATGTGTGCGCATGTGTGTGTTCAAAACCAGCAGGGCTGGTGTTGGTGGTCCTTCAGATTTCATGGGACTACAACTCCCATTCTCCCTGACCTTGGCTATACTGATAGGATTTGAAGTCCAATAATCTCTGGAGGGTTAGATGTTGCCTGCCTGGTATGTATACATTTTTAAGCTCCGAGTCTCACAATTGTACAGCATTTGCAACAGCTGCACTGCAGATTATGTGAATCTATCAGACACACACACAAACACACGTATATATCACCTTCTTGCATGCATGGCATTTGCAGGCAGTGCTATAAAAAAGATGACACTTGAATGTTGAGAAACAAAGCAAACAAACTTGGTAATCCTTTTACACGAGTCTGTAACCATAGTGGAACTGCAACACCACCAATTACATAAGAGCGATGCATTTCTGAACATTCATGAAGGTGACTATTTCTCCTTTTGTTAGCCTGAGATCTATCTAGATAAAGCTTCCATTGTCTTCCAGCCTTAGTTTCTACCACATGCAGATGGCTTTCGCTGGGCAGTTTGACACGCTATCAATACTGCAATACTAGCTTGTCAAGTTCGGGATGACGTTCAACCTCATTGCATCATAAGAAAAACAATTCCAAGCACCGCGCAAGCTGGAGGAGGAACAGAGAATTATTAGAAGGAAGCTGGAAGCGTTTCAGGGCAAGAAAGGATGGCGGCTTGTCTCCCAAAGACCTGTGCTTCAACTCCTCGGAGGCTGGATTAAAACAACGTTGCGGGGAGGGGAGGCTCTCTTTCCCGAGCACATGGGCTCTTGGTCTTGAAGACCAGAGCTTCTGCCAGCCAGAGTAGTCAACTTCAAATCAAAAGACTAAGAACGGGTCTCAGCAAAGAATGTATTCATGTGCGCACACGGAATTGAAGCCCCCCCAGAATTTAGACGTCAATCCAAATGCCAGTTATTCAATTGTACATGTGCTTGTGATAATTCATTTTAGCCATGTTGAATAGGACATAGCAGATTTTTTTAAAAGTCGGCTTAAGCAGATGTGTTTTGGGTTTTTTTTAAAAAAAAAAACTAGTTTGATGCATAGGCAAAAATCACCATGACCAGCTTGTTTGTCTTGAGCATGTAGGGTACCGTTAGAGGGTGTCTCTGGGTGGACTGAGCTGCACTGAGGATGGAATGAAACCTTCTGAGCTTGTCCTCCTCTCCTCAATTGTGTGGGTGGTTGTTTGGATAACAGAGCCAGGGATGAGCAAATGACCACATAGGCAGACCACACTCCCAAAGACAGGCATCCATCAAAAACTGGATGGACCTGGAGGAAATAAAAGGAAAACGGCCCAAACCATGGGAAGAGGAGCAAGACAGCTACAGGCTGCAGAGCTGGAACACCATCCCTGCAGGACCATGGGCACCAGAGTCCTGCAAGACAGAGGAGGAAAGCCTTGGACCATCCTGATGATGTTGCCCCCTCCCAACATGGCCATCTCTCAGCGCTAGGAGTGGTAGACGCAAGGATCTCAATGGCGCCAGCTGTGGAGAAGGCTGCTTTACATCTATAGCATGTGAGAATCAACAGGCGATGCAGGTGACTTTCTTAGACTGGGCTTGGAGCAAATGGATGAAAACTACGATCCTGTGCAAAAGTTCTCCATTAATGAGAATCAATGCATTGAGTTCAACGTGGTAGGGAGAGAACTGGTGCCCTTCAAGCGTACATCCAACTTTATCTTGATTTTCATGGCCTCCTAACAATAACGAGCCTTTATGTTCTTTATTCGTACAAGGAGCTTCCAAGCTCAGTGTCTCACCAATGCTTATTATGTCTAAAGCCAGGAAGGAATGAATACACTACTGTTTTGTCTCAGCTCACCCCAATAATTATCCGTTAGTACAAAGAATTTAATATAGAGAAAGAAAAATAACACCGAATCATTCCTTCTTCCCATCAATGGCCTGTACTCTTTCCTTTGGGAAGTGTGGCCAACTTCACTCTCCAAAAGACCCAACAACTCGATTCGCCCGTACAAAAAACACCAGTCGTGAACCCTTCCAGAATTCATAATAAAACAGGATAGAGATAGCTAAAAGGAGCATCTACTGCCGCTGAGACCCGCTTGAAGTATTATTCAGAATATTATCACTGCTAGGAACAGTATTTCAAACGGAGTAAGGAGAGAGAGAGAGAGAGAAAGAAAGATGACAGATGATCTGGGAGTTGTAGTCCAAGAACATCCGGGAACTCAAGTTTGGGAACCACTGGGATATTTGAATATTTCAATAGCAATGAATGAGTTCTACCTTGCCTATTCATCACTCTGAGCATTTCTTCATATAAGTCTGTGTTTCCTTCTTCCATTACCATCTTCTCTTTCTACTGTTGAGCTGCAGCTTCCTTTCTGCACAACAGTCTGATGAGGTAGGCCAGGCTGAGCATCAAGGACAAATTCAAGCTCACCCAGTGACTCATTGGGGACTTGCACTGGAGTCTCCCAAGTTCGACACTCTAGCTATTACCCCATACTGCCTCTGAGAGGACTGTTGGTTTAGGACATACACTTCCTGTCGCCCGGAATGCCATTCCACTTCCAAACGCGTGGCTTTAAAATTGAGTTTTACTAATATATATATTAAAAAATTAAAACAAAAATGAATCAGTCTTGCTACGCCAGCCAAAACATCTTGTATGATTTGCACTAATTACATAGACAAATATTTCCAAAGTAACGCATGTCAATATTTTGCTCCATCAGCTTAAAAAAAACCCACTTCTCATTCTGCACTCATTCGTCTATGGACAGTTCTTTATGCAATCGTTTTTGTTTTGTTTTGTTTTTGGAAAAGCACATCTTCCATCTGTGGGTTCTGACTTTTTTGTAGGTGAGTTCAGGATCGTTACTTTTAGAGAAGACCCTTCTCAGAAGTCCTTGGCCGTGTTGGTTGCAAGAATCAGTCCCTCAGATTTTTATTTTGTAATACAGAGCTTTTCTCTTGTTTGAAATGTGAACTGTCCTGGCTAAGAGCTTTATAAACACTGAACTGGTCTCGTGCATACATAACTCCATGTGTCGCATCATTAAACCAACAGCTGCCCAACGCCTGAGTCATTTCTCCACCTGGATCCCTGCCTGCCTGACCTGCTCACAAAATTCCAGAAACTGTACTTTGACCAGGAGAGGAGCAGGAGAAGAATGCATGGCCAGGAAAGGCACCCCCTGAGCACACCAGTAAAGACCACATTGCAGATGACCAGGTTTTCCCGGCCCCAAAAGTGACCCAGGCTACACGGACACCCACAATCTTCTTCAGTCCACACATGGAGCCACCCCTGGAGAATCTCAAAGCTCAGCCTCTCCGTTTCACCTGGAAGCAGCCGAGAGCACTCTCTCTGTGTTTGTTTTGGACTCGCTTTTGCCCTGGGAAAAGTTCCCTTCTGCTCTCCGCCCTGCTCCTTTCACTCAGACAAGGAAGGTTGTCTTCTTGTGCCCAGCTGCTGTCACCCAGGCACTCTTGCTCGGTTTTCCCTGTCCGTCAAAGTGTTGCAAAACTTGCACCTCCTATTTGCAAGGTGGGGGTGGCTGCCCCATCCCACTCTTTGAAAAACACCTAACTGTCTCCCTCAGGAAGTGCCACCCTCGCCTCGGTGGCATGAAAAATAATTGACCCGTTGGTTCTTCTGCCAGCTCTTCTGGGGTAGAGGACATCCTCTGAAGTGCAGGAAGGCTCTTGTCCAAAGGCAGCTCGTTTCCACAAGAGGAATGCGGGTCCTTGAGATGGACCAATCGGTCTCCGGGATCCCTGCCCTTGGTTGCTCACATGGAATCAGAGAGAATTTCCCAAAGGAGGCTAAGGCGGTGACACATCTAGCAAGCTGGTTCTTGCCCTCTGTGAAAGGCCATGAGGTTTAAACGCAAGAGAGGTGTGGGGAGGGGGAGAGGAGGAAATGCATTCCAAATGAACAGAAATCCATGCACTACCCATCGTGTGAGTCCAGCTCCCTCAATGCTTGCAGCAGAATTGTGAACACTGGGGGTGAAACTTCACCAACTTTGGCACTTGAAAATACTACTTTTTGGATTACGGATCCCAGAATCCCCAGCCAGGAGATGCTGGGAACTGTAATCCAGAAGCACAGCATTCCCGAGAACTGTCCCAGCCACGGAGTCCCCAAAGTAAGGCCCCGGTGTTACTTCTGCCTGTCTTGCTGCAGCCACGGGCTGCCCGGTAGACTCTTCCAACTCCGCTTATCAGGCCTTTTGAGGGAGGCGAGATGTTCAAGGAGTAGCTTGCAATGGCTGCGTTCTCCCAGGGAACTCCCATGGCCGAGTCAGGATTTGCACCCAGGTTTCCTGACTTCCAGTCTGTCACCCTACCCACTACACTGCACTGACTTACTTCAATCAATGCTGGACCACTAAAAACTTACAAGATGGGGGAGTTTTCAAGTTCTCGAGATGCCTTCATCAGACAAAGATGGTATAAAACTTGGTGTCCAAGCTTCTTTTTATACCATTTCCCCCAATTCTCTGTAAAAATATGAGTTCACCAGAACATCCACTAAGGGTATCCTATGCTCCTGATTGCTATGTCTGAGCTGGCTTTTGAGCTTCTCCTTACAGATCTCCTAATCTTCCACTCAACAGTAGGGATCAACCAAGGGTGTGCAGACTTGCAGGATTTTTCCCCACAGAATTGTAGGTTTAGAAGGGACACTAAGGGACAACCCCAGGCCAAAGCAGGACATTCACAGAGAGAGGCTCATCTAACGTCTGTGTAAAAACTTCCAGCGAAGCTCAGCCTCTTCCACAGTCAAACAACTATAAACCTTTGGAAGTATCTGGAAGACCATCCTCTACCCTTAGGAGCTGGCCTTGAATATGAAATCTTGTGTATCTCACAACCCAGAGAAGCCAGACTGGTGCACATCTCCCAATCCGCAGGTTGACTGTCAAGCTCCCTCCCAAGGGACATCAGGATGGATTCATCTCTTCAGCCAAGACTGTTCTGCAAGGCCTTTAGAATATTAAACTGGTTTCGAAGCCAGCTTTTAGAGATTTCTGCTCCGTGTTTAGAGGACACTGAGTTTTAAAATGGATTTCTTAATTGCTGGTTATCAAGACGTGGTTTCCTCTGTTGTTGCTGTGTCTTGTTTTCAGGGCCCTCCTGGTAAACAATTACAGTACTTTAAATTAGTAAATAAACTTCAGGTGAATAATTATGTACACATGCAGATGTACGCATATGTGGTGCAGTACCTACTACAGGATTACACTGCGGTTATATATTTTTTTTTAAAAGGGGAAGGATTTAAATTCCCACCACACCCTCCGCTGCTCTTTAGCTGTTTCCCTTTTCAGTGTTTACCGTTTTGGGTTTGCACATCAGAACCTAAGGAAGAAGGAAAGAAAGAAAGGCAGGCGGCCGCACAAGGTAAACTCATAACATGACAGCACCTATTTTAACTCTAATAAGCCGGGAGAAGACTCGCCACAAACTGGCTGTGTTGCCAAGTAAATACAAATTATCTAGGAGGAGTCGTTTGACTCATTAAGCCCAGGTCTACCTAAAGAAAGGAGTCGGAAAAACCTGGCCGTCCAGGTTCAGACTGGAGACGTCACGCTGGCCAAGGGCTGTTCAAGCAGGCTTGGGAGAAAGAGGTGCCACGGGACTTACCCAAAGTCATTCTCTGACCGTTTGCCAGCGGAAGTCCCTGCGTTGCCCATAAACAAATTCTAAAAAGCTATCCTGGAGTGATGGGCTCATCAGGCACCCCCTGAAAAAGTTGCACCCCCAAAAATGTGGGCCATATTTTAAGAGAGCAGGCCTTCTCTCCGGACATGATGTCTGTTAGAGAAGGTGGAGGGAGGGAAGGAAGTATGATGTGAAGCCCTCGTAGCCAGGGCTGGTTTGAAACCTTTAGAGACCTTATGCTCTGAAAAGATGGTGGGGACCCTTGGAACATATCAGATGGCGGCTTAAAAACACCCATATAACACCTTATATGCATGAAAACACGTTAATCTAATGGTATTGCCTGTGGCCCCAAAAGGTCACATGTCGTATACAAAAATCATACATACAATCAAATTTTACCGGCTTCCAGCCAACTCTTGTGCTTTCACCCTTTGCGTAATGTAGACAGATTTTGTCAGAATCTGTAAACTGAAAAGCTCAAACAAGAGCTTCAAACCCCTTTTGGGGGCATTTTCAACACTGGGTGTTATTTCTTTGGCTTGCACCTGTAGTGTAGAGGCCATGCAGCTTTTCTCTATCCTTATCCCCACCCAACCTCCCAAAACACAGAAGTAAAAAAAAAAACCTGTCAAATGATGATGATGATGATGGTGACTGATCATTTCACTCAAAACATGAACTTTCTTGCTAGGTGAGTCTTGACACATTTTCATTTTTGCTGGTTCATCGTGCTCAATGGCTTAGGAAGGGAGGTGGCTTTCCTGGGGCTCTTGAGCGAAGGAGGTAGGTAGGTTGGGAGCCAAGAAGGAGGGAGGGAGTGACACGTTTTCATTTTTGCTGGTTCATTGTGCTCAATGGCTTAGGAAGGGAGGTGGTTTTCCTGGGGCTCTTGAGCGAAGGAGGGAGGGAGGTTGGGAGCCAAGAAGGAGGGAGGGAGGGAGGGAGATGGCTTGTTAAGGAGGGGGCACCATTTGCACCATGGCCCCTGGTAA